GCACTGTGCCCGGGGAGCGCCGGTTTGGGACCTTCCTGGAGCATTTCAAGCTTTAGTGGAGATGCCACTTTGGGAGTCGGGGGCCCAGGCGGAGGCGCACCACTTTCTGTGATTCTTTTTTGCCTCATCCCACCCATTCCATTCCACCAGCTTCCTTGCTGTTCCCTTCTTTCAACAGGTGTTAGGGCTCCTTAAGTTTTTGGCCTTAACTGGGAAACTCTGAAGGTTCTTCGGCCTGCCTGGATCAGTCTCAAGGGGTTTCACCAAGTTCAACGTTTCTAACCCGCCCGCTCTTGTGCCCCGGGCCGCACGACACCAGTTCTCAGAAAAGTTACTGACAAGGAGAGCTTCGCGCGGCCCAACTAGGGGAGATTTTGCCACTCAAACTGTTAGGATTGTCGGGATAGGTCAGGAACGCGCGCAACGATCTTTGGAAGGAGAGTTGCGCAAAGTTCTGGCTTTCTCCACTCTTAAATTTTGGATCACGTTAGGCGCAAAGAAATGAAGGCCAGCTCTTTCTTCGTGCTGAGCTGAAAAACAGCTGAATTGGCAACTGGAATAGGAAGTTCACCAATAAATAAGAATTTACCGAAAGAAAGGCAGTTTGGGTTTATTTTAATCACCGTATTAAACCTAACTAGTGGGACTGGGAAGAAGGATGCTGACAATTTAGTCAAATATTAGCTAAAGCTTATGTGGGGCTCCCTGAAATTGTCAGTGATAAAAGGGAAAAAGCCTCTTAGAGACTCGGAAACTGAGATCCAATTGGATTTTTTTTTTTTTTTTTTTTTTTGGCTGCGTCCTTAAACGATCTTAACTCATTCTTTTAATCCCGATGGGTTTGTCCAGAATGACTAATAGACGCTTTTTCAGCAGTTTCCATTGTCCCAGCAAACTGCCGGATCAAATTTATTGCTAATGGCTTTATAGAATTTAACATGTTTAGAACCTGTCCTAGTCTTTCAGTTTGAAATGGTTACTAACAGAATGGAACAAATGTAACTATATGAACACCGGTCTCATTCACTTAGTGTAAAACCTAAATGCTAGGGAGCCTTTTTTGCACCCTGAAAGAGGAACAAACAGTTAAGGCAAAGTTTATGGAAATTTGGGCCTCTCTGTTCTTTTTGAAGTATTAGAAAAATTAGGCATAAAGCAGGTTCACTTGGACAAGAGTTAATAAATTATATTTCATAAAAATAACATTTTCCAGAAAATTTGTTGATTTGCATAACTTTTGGTGGCTTGTTTGTATTGATAGAAGTTATCTTTCAAGGATTCCTACACTGTTTCTAATCATAATTGTCTCAGCCATGAAAAGGTATTTAATTTTAACCTTTGCAGATTTTACAGATTACATTTAAATAAAATAAATGCAACTCAAGTGCAGTTATTTCAATAACCCTCAAAAGTAATTTCCCATATCTATTTATTTATTTCAAAATATTGCAACTAAAGGTTAAAAGTTTTCATAACTACATTTTTTATTTTCAAGAACATATTCATTCTTGTACACGTATTAAAGTGTCCAATTGCAAACATTGTTTTTGGAATAATTACGAGGGTTGTAAGAATTTTTATTCCCTTTTGAAGTATTCTAATACAGTTTAAGCGTGTGTTTTTCCAAATATTTTATTCAATACTCATTGAAGAGATGATGTTCTAGATTAATTTTCATTTGAACAAACAACCTTTGTTTTTTAAAAAATTATTCTTGTAAAGAAAACATTAGGTTCTGAAACTAGAAAAACATCTAAAGAAGAAAACTAAAATCTCATGAATTTGACCCCACAAATATGCTGCTTAAAACCAGAGTTTATATTGATATATTTTGATAATTGGATAAAGAATGTAGTTTTCTGAACATTGCCCCGGTTTTATTTAAAGTACAGATTCTTGCCTTACCAAATGTGGGAATTATTTTATGGAGTGTACAATTATGAAATTATAATGGAGTGCCAACAATTTTTTTTTTTCCTATCAGGTGGAAATTAGGTGAGGATGAAATAGTGATTTGGTGTTCTGGGGGAGAGCCTAAGAGTTGGAGTTTTCGGGAAGATAATACTATATTTTTCTGAAATGTTGTCGAACAATCAGTTCTGATCCTTTAGACGTTAACTTGGGAGTGGACCACAAAATCTGATTTTAGTAATTTCTGCATGTTGACTGCCCGCTTTTTTCCCAGCCTTAATTTGTTCAGTGCACTACATCTAAATTTGAATAAGAAAGCCCCAGAGTTATTTCTAAGTTCATTGGTGAAATATACCACCATTTAACTGCGGGATTTCTGCTTCTGTATGCGTTTTTGTTTCATTATTTTTCGTTATTTTTGTTACCTACTTTAAATATACCATATATTTCATTCATTCAGCACATGCTTACTGAGTGTCGCCCATGTATCAGGCTCTGTTCTAGGCCATTGGCATAATCAGTTAACAAAACAGATGACTGACTGGGCCCTTGTAGAGCTTACATTCCATGTTCTGTACCGCTTTATAGGTTAGCAGCCATTTTCAAAACAGCTCCCTTAATCCTCCTAATAAGCTAATGAGATGGCTGTGGGGATTCCAGTTGTTTTTCTCAATGATTATTTCATTTGCTCATTTTGATTTTGTCCAAAGTATCACTTTAATCATCTATGAACTTGTGAAAGAGAAAAAAATTGCTCCAAATCTTCAGACTCCTACCTTAGGTTAGTCTTTCATTGACTAGAAGAAAATAATGAGGGCCAATTGGATCACCAATTACATAGTATCACAATAATAAATCAAATTGTGATTTTGTACCTCAGCCCATAATGGAAGAAATTAGCTTTCCCTTTCCTCTTGTTATGAAATATATTTGAAAGGTGGTGACAGTTAAACACAGTAACACAAATTTACAGCTCATGGGCGAAAGTAGAGTTGTCAGTGCTTCATCCCTGAAAGTTGTTAAGTTTGAGTATTTACAGCAAGAAAAGCCACACTCCATAGCTATATGTTGTCAAGTTGTTTATATAGAATAGTTTTAAAACTTTAAAAATCAAAGGACTCAGGGCTAGGGAGGGGCACATTTAGGGCAATATTGGATAGTAAATAGGTTCTCCTGCAGGGCTTATATCTGAAAAAAGAAAAAATGTCATGAATGTATTATAGTTTATTAGTGGAAACCAGGAGGTTTTTGGAGTAAACTCTGATTATCAGACATCCTTCCTCAGAAGTTTGCCGATGCCATTATTTGTGACAATATTTGGAAAATATTATGCCTGATAAAAATATTCATGTCTTTGTATATAAAAGAGGGCCTGAAAATGTAAAATGCCGAAAGATTTATATTCTCCTGGCTACAGAATGACATCAGTTTTCCAATTGGTGGTTATGCCATCAGTTCTCTTCAAAATAAGTGGAACAAATAGTCTTGCTTATTAATAACATTTGTTATTTTAAGCATTTTAGAAAATGTTTGACATAAAAATAATTTCCTGAATATAATTTCCTTTATTGTTTATTAAATCTATTCTTGTGCTGCGTATGAAAGGACTGGAAAGCAAATGTTCATTCTGGATAGGTGAGTTGAACTGCAAAAAGTAGTTTTGCCAAGTAAGTCATTCTGTGTAGTAAAGAAATAAAAGAGCATTAGTACTTTTTTTTTCTGGCATCCGGTTAGGATTTTTTCTGACCATCAATACTTAATGTGCACTCTAGTTTTCTTGTTTGTCTCCCAATCCCAGGTACTGTTTACCCACTGATTGTTGACTGTCTGAAACTATTCACACTTGTATCTGGTGCTGCAAATGGTAGTTTTTTCCTCCACTGAGATACACTGAAAGTGTGAAATAAAATGGCCTCTCTTACATTTTAGGCACCTAGGGAAGGGAGAAAAGGGATTTGTGCTCAAGGTGGGGATTCCAGTCTAAGTAAAGACTTTGTGACCTTATTTTTTAAGCCTGAGTTTGAGCTTTCTGTTGTTGACACTATGATTTAGATTCGTTTT